AATGTATTCTAGCCTTTCATATTAGATTCAATGATATTAGTTGGTATACTAGAACAATAACATTCAAACTACCTCATTCGGCTTAAAGGTGTACTGCAGATATAAATGTTAAACAAAAGACTTTGGAAGGAATTCTGGAAATTTATTTAAAATCTCCTGCGACCCACCTGTGGGTCCCGACCCAGTGTTTGGGAAGGACTGCTCTAGAACATTATTTGTCCATACATACAACCTTTTAAGGTTCCAACTCACACTTGTCAGTCTTTTACCTAAAGCTCTTGTTTGGGCTTAAATAGGTGTCCGTTAAAGGTCATGTAAGTGTCAAATTCGTCACTGAAGATGGCGTTCTCCCTCTCGCCTTTAAAGAGCCTCACCCAGACCTGGTCATCCCTCTCAAGTTGCAGCATCAGGCTTTGGCTCTGCATGACGGAGCGGTCACTGGGCTGGGCATAGAGGATCACCGCCTCCTGCTCATTGTGCATCACGTGTAGGTACGTCTCCCTCTGGTTCCACGTGTGCACATTCAGGCTGAAGTAGTAGATGCCCGGCACGTAGCAATATAACTTACCAGTAAACATGTTGAAGTGGCCGTAGAGGTTGACCAGCTCTTTGTCGAATACCAGTGTCTGGTAGTAGTCATTGGAGTGTAGACCCTTCTTGCGGGCAACAGAAAAGGCTGCAAAGTAGGACTTGCAGGACTCACCAGGGAGGCCCAGACTGCCTTTGCTGCCCTTTAGGCCATTGGGACCTGGAGGACCACTCTGACCAGCTCTGCCTAATTTACCCAGAGGTCCTCGTTCACCGATATCACCCTTCTCACCTAGGAGCAGCAGAAAGCAATGCTTTTAGTTTTCTTTTTAGGATAGTCTCATCTGTGCTGAATGGCCATTTCAACTGTAATGAATTGCTGCAAATTTACGGTGGATTTACAATGGTATCTTACAGTATTTTAGAAGAACTATAACATACAGTTATATTTCATCCTTTGCATGTAAATTAACAGTTAACAGCCGTCGGTTAACCGTTTTTACGATTTATTTTACGATCAAATTGTTTTGAACTGCCTTCATCTCTGTTGGATCTTTTTTGAGTTCAATAATGAGCATCAATAGTTTAGATTGTCCAAGATCGCAACATTGGTAAGCAAATTCTGTATTCTTTCAATTTGTTTACTTATAGTGAAAGATGAAGATTCCACCTTTGATTGGTTGCTAAAGAATATTGTGAAAAGATGATTGTAATGTTATAATCTACAGGTGCATCTCAATGAATTAGAATATCATCGAAAAGTTAATTTATTTCAGTAATTCAATTCAAAAAGTGAAACTCATATATTATATAGATTCATTACACACAAGGTGATATATTTCAAGCGTTTATTTCTTTTAATTTTGATGATTAGGCTATGGCATACAGCTAATGAAAACCCCAAATTCAGTATCTCAGAAAATTTGAATATTACATAAGACCAATAAAAAAAAGGATTTTTAATACAGAAATGTTGGCCTACTGAAAAGTATGTCCATGTACAGTATAAAGTATGCACTCAATACTTGGTCGGGGCTCCTTTTGCATGAATTACTGCATCAATGCGGCGTGGCACGGAGGCGATGAGACTGTGGCACTGTTGAGGTGTTATGGAAGCCCAGGTTGCTTTGATAGCGGCCTTCAGCTCGTGTGCATTGTTGTGTCTGATGTCTCTCATCTTCCTCTTGACCCCATAGATTGACCCCATAGATTCTCTCTATGGGGTTTAGGTCATTCAAGAATTTGGGGGAGATTCACAAGGAGTGGACTGCGGCTGGAGTCAGTAGTTGATGACACTTCCAGCAATCACATCATCCAGCCTCAGCAGGGGAACCAGGGTCCAGGATGCCAGCGCCCCTTGCTACCTACTTTCTCAAACAGCAGCAGTTGGCTCTAGCAAGACCACCGGGCACTAAGATGCCAGTGTCGCCCACCGAATACTTCCAGCAACCTCAGCAAGCTGCCCTAGCTGGGGCACCTGGCAGTGGACGCCAGTGCCCCCCGGCCACCAACTTCTAGCAGCCACTGAAAGTTACCCGAGCCTGGGCACCTGTCACCGGGATGCCACTGCCCTCCACCACCTACTTCCAGCAACATTACATTACAATACATTACAGTTATTTAGCAGACGCTTTTATCCAAAGCAACTTACAACAAGTGTATTCAACATAGGTATTCAAGAGAACTACTAGTCAACAGAAGTCATAAGTGCATCTCCTTTTTCAAACAAGCATCTAAGAGCATAAACCAGAGCATAAGTACAGTGCAGAAACAAACTAATACAAACAATAAGTGCAACAAACTAATACGAATACAATAAGTGCAACAAACTAATACGAATACAATAAGTGCAACAAACTAATATGAATACAATAAGTGCAACAAACTAATATTAATATGAGTGCTAGGTGGAAGGCTCAGGGTAGTACTTCTTGAAGAGGTGAGTTTTCAGCCTGCACCGAAAGATGGGCAGCGACTCTGCTGTCCTGACGTCAGTGGGGAGTTCATTGCACCACTGTGGGGCCAGGACAGAAAAAAGCCGTGACCGGCCACAGGGACTTCTGAGCGACGGGGCAACCAATCGCCCCGAGGCAGCAGAGCAAAGTGGTCGGGTGGAGGGCTTGACCATGGCCTGGAGATAGGAAGGAGCTGTTCCTTCCACTGCCCTGTAGGCTAGCACCAGAGTCTGGAGACTGGATGCGAGCTCTTACAGGGTGCCAATGTAAAGAATGGAGAAGGGAAGTTGTGTGGGAGAACTTGGGGCGATTGAACACCAGACGAGCTGCAGATTTCTGGAGAAGCTCCAGAGGTATGATGGCCGACACTGAGGCTCCGGCAAGTGGTGAGTTGCAGTAGTCCAGGTGGGAGATGACAAGAGCCTGGATAAGCACCTGTGCCGTCTCGTCAGTGAGGAAGGGGCAAATCCTCCTGATGTTGTAGAGCAGGAATATGCAGGAGCATAAAACCGATGCAATGTTTGCTGAGAACGAAAGTTGGTCGTCCAGGGTCACACCCAGATTCCTCGCAGTCCGAGTTGGCGTCACCACTGTATCATCAATGGTGATGGACAGATCTCGGTGCGGGCAACCCTTCCCCGGGAGGAAGAGTAGCTCGGTTTTGTCCAGGTTGAGCTTTAGGTGGTGTGTCGCCATCCACATCGAGATGTCAGCCAAGCATGCAGCTATGCGTGCCTCCACTTGAGTGTCACCGGGGGGAAATGATAAGACCAGCTGGGTATCATTGGCATAACAATGGTAAGAGAAGCCATGCGAGCAAATAACAGAACCCAGAGATGTTGTGTAGAGCGAGAAGAGAAGGGAGCCCAGAACTGAACCTTGTGGAACCACTGTAGTCAGCTTGCATGGTTCCAACACGGCCCCCCTCCATGTCACCTGGTAGGATCAACCTGTCAGGTAGGATGCAAACAGGGAGAGTGCAGAGCCTGAGACGCCCATCCCCTCAAGGTTGGAGAGGAGGATCTGGTGGTTCACCGTGTCAAACGCCGCAGACAGGTCCAGGAGAATCAGGACAGAGGAGAGAGAGTTCGCTCTCGCGGCGTGAAGCGACTCTGTCACCGCAAGGAGGGCTGTCTCTGTCGAGTGACCCATCTTGAACCCGGACTGGTGGGGGTCCAAGAGGCTGTTCTGGTGGAGATAGGAAGACAGTTGGTTAAAGACAGCACGTTCAAGTGTTTTGGATAGAAAGGGTAGAAGAGAAACCAGTCAGAAGGGTCAAGTGATGGTTTCTTCAGAAGGGGGTGACTCTGGTAGTCTTGAAAGCCGTGAGAAAGCAGCCTGAAACAAGAGATGTGTTGATGAGGTGGGTGAAGAAACGAAGGAGTTCAGTCGCAATAGACTGAAGAAGAGGGAAGGGGATCGGGTCAAGGGAGGACGTGGTGGGGCGGTTAGATGTAACAAGGTTGAGGACCTCGTTAGGGGAGAGGGGAGCAAGATAGGGTAAGATAGGGCATGGAGAGGGGAGGGAAAGCTGGAGAGGGTAGATAGGGAGGACAGGGAGAGGGGGGCTGAGAGAAGGAGGATCTGTATGATTTACCTTCTTGTCAAAGAAGTTGGCGAAATCATCAGGGAGAAGGGAGGAAGTAGGAGGAGGGGGTGGGGGTTGGAGGAGTGAAGAGAAAGTTTCGAAGAGTTTTTTAGGATTGGAAGCAGAGGTTAGGATTTTAGAGCGGAAGAAAGCAGCCGATATATTAGCAGTAGATAGAGAGGAGGGAAAAGTGGAAAGAAGAGATTGGAAGTTAAGAAGATTGTCCGGGAGTTTGCCTTTTCTCCATTTACGCTCAGCCTCTCTTAGGCTCCGTCTATCAGTGCGCACTGAGTCCAACAGCCATGGGGCAGGTGGAGTTGGCCGTGCAGGCCTGGAGGTGAAGGGACAGAGGTTGTCCAAAGAAGAGGAAAGGGTGGAGAGGGCAGAGGTAACAGAAGAGGAAAAATCAGTGGGGGAGAAGGAGCGGAGATGACTGTGGGTAGAAACCGTGTGGGTAGGTGGAGGAAGTAAGGGGGGAGAGGAGAGGGAGAGGGAGTATGACATGAAATAGTGGTCAGAAAGCTGGAGGGGAGTGACAGAGAGGTTAGCAGTAGAACAGTGTCTAGTAATGATAAGATCCAGCTGGTTGCCGGCCTTGTGGGTAGGAGGAGAAGAAGAGTGGTAAAGGTCAAAGGAGGAGAGGAAGGAAAGGAGAGGTTTTAACTTATCAGTCTGGATGTTGAAGTTGCCAAGCAGGATGAGTGCGGAGCCATCGTCATGGAAGTGCGAGACTAATGTGTCAAGCTCCTCCAATAACTCACCAAGGGGGCCACAACAGCAATGGTGAGCTTGACTGGATAAGTGACAGTAACTGCATGAAATTCGAAAGAGGACGGGGAGAACTGTGGAACAGAGACAAGAGAGTATTTCCATTTTGGGGAAATTAGCAGGCCAGTACCACCACCTTGCCTCGCAGCTCTGGGAGTGTGAGAGAAAGAGTACACATCTGACAGAGCTGTGGGTGTGGTAGTGTTTTCTGGTGTGATCCAGGTCTTAAAGCAAAAAAGTTGAGGGAGAGCAAGGATGCATACATAGCCTGAGATGAAGACAACTTTCGGCACTGCCGACTGGCAATTCCAAAGCCCCCCCTGCCACCATGCTCGCCATGAGCTGAGAGAGTAGGATAGATGAGGTTAGTAGGGTCACGGCACCTGGGAGTGACCCAATGTCTACGTGGTAGTCAATATAAACAGATTACTGACCTGCAAGTACACGCTCGAGAAGTCTTTGCTTGACGAACTCTGGCTTGAAAAAGTCGCCCTGTTGCCTTCGTTCGCCCTAGCTTTTGTTTGCCCGATGCTTGGAAGCTGACGCTTCTAACCACCATTGTCTGCCAGGAGTGCAAGCCACTCCCCTGGCATTTAACAGGGCAATTGACCAAGTGAAACTAGATCACATCTACCTTACACAAACATAGACTGCAAAAGCATTAACACTGAAGCAGCCCAGGTACAGCTAATAGCAACTTGTAAAAGCAAGAACAATATACTTAGTTTATTCTAGCTGAGTCAAGTAGTTCAGTATCCCTCCAGAAGCCAAATACACTCTGCAACCATAGCAAGTTGCCATAGCCAGGACACCTGGCAGCGACGCCAGTGCCCCCCCGCCATTTACTTCCAGCGACGGACCCACAAAATTGGTCCATACAACAATGCCGCTCCCTCTGCCGGTTTTTGGGGGTTTCCATGACAGAAGATGTTTTGCTGTAGATCAGCCCTTGGACCTCGCAGGCAAATGCCAAGTCGTTTTCCCTTCACTCTAGCCGCAGCCATTCCGTGGGGCCACAAATGGCCCAGCAAGTCCATCTCTTAACTCCTGACAACCTAGCAATAATTTACCTAATCATTAAAGGGCGGCGCGACACCCTCCTACTTACCAGTGCGTTCTCGATGCAACTCATGTCTGGGCCACTGCAACGCCATTGCTTTCTCGTTTCTCATTCCAGAAGTTCAGAAGATCCGCCCTCTTGCAGACACCTGTCCAACATCTGTTTCGCCATATTCAACGCTGTCGTTAAACTCATAAAGCCTACCTTGATTGTGCCGATCATCGATCAGCAGAACTCCATCATCGATAACCTATCTCCTTTAACCTTTTTGTTCACAGGGTCAGCTTCGGAAAAGAGTTTCCACTACTTCCTGGACGCAACCAGTACATCATAACAGTCCCGTCGTTCAATCTTGTTCAATGACCCGTTTTCGTTACCTCGGCCCATTCCTTGATATCCATAGACACTCAAACATACCTATGTGGAATAGACTTCTCTAAACTCTTGTGGAGTAACCCGAGCCCGGCCTCCAGCACACCCTACTATCTAACCTATTCCATAACATCACTGTCACAGGTCTTCTGCGCAAAGAGCCTGTTCAAAAAATCCACGCCGCTATTTGATGCAATAATCCTCACATTGCTCGAACCTTAGAAGTTACATTTTTGCCCGTTTTTTTTGCCTGCCTCATGTTCAGAGTTCCCCGCCTTATACCATCACTTCGATTAATGATGTCCCCTTCTTTCGTAGAGCTTGGACAAATAGCTACCTCCACTACATTCACCCACATCGTAATGACCTGTACTTGGGTCAATCTAGTCTCAAGTAACATGGGGTTTTGGGGGTTCGCCATGCCCGAGTGCTACAGCGGATTCCCTATCGAAGCTTCCCCACAACTCATTCGACTAACCGGACGAGCTACACGAAGCTCAAGCCTCGCATCTCAATCACGTTTACCTTCAATAAATCTGTTAAACGCTTCTATTTGATGGTGTGGTCCTTGCTAGTGAAACCTCTCCTACCTACCACTTGTCAGTTTTGTCTTTAATCGGTAGTGGAATGGTTGTGATGAGAAGTCCCAAAGTGAAAATTTAAATAAGCAACAAAAACCTTTATTTCTGTCTGAACTTGTAATTTAGGCCCTGTTGACAGGCACACATTTAAAAAAAAGGATATTTTCCTCTACATTTTGGCCTCTCTTCCATTTGCAAACGGAGTTTTACGTCACTAAAACAGATATTTTTGAAAATGCCTTTTAAGGTGTAGAGTTATTACCATGTATCTGTGAGGACGGGTAAAACGGAGTGTATGGGAAACGATGACGTCTTAACATAACAGATGGTTTACTTCAACAACAACTATCGCCTTGGCACCAAATATCAAGTATGTATAAATGAAGAAATATTTAGCTATTGCTTTACTGTTGTTTTTTTGTTAACAACCCAAAGGAAAATAAGCTCACTGAGCATGCTCGGAATTTTCTTCTCTGGTATTTGATGTATTGTTGACGTAGCCTTTATCACCACCTACAGGGCTGGCTAGTTGTTTTTGCGTTCTAGTGGTTTGGACAGAAATTCATATCCATTTAAAAGAAAAAAATCTGTAAATGTGGCTTTTTGTCCATTTTACATTGTCCTATTTCCATTTATTTATTTATTTATTAGAGTTTATTGAGACACTACTGACGTAAACACACAGATATTTTGTCTCCTTTACTTCCTTTGAAAGATGAGGAAAGATGTAAGCTATGGCAAGTTATTTACCACACAAATAGGACAAAGTTATTATTATTCAGCTATTTTGCTGAATCATATGGTTTCCTTGTGTCCCTGTAAAAAAATATTTCAGTACCAGTCTGCAGCACAGGGGTGGTCAAGCACTGCCTTAAAATGATGATAAAGTCAAAGATATTTATATTTTTATTGGTTTGAGTTGAGAGCAGCTTTATTTGTGTCTTGTTATAGTCTAAATACTGTATTTATAAATATGGTGCGGCAATATGAAGTTATTGAGCACTGACAGAAATAAGATTTGAAGGCTTTATTGTTCCGACAGGCCTTTGAAATATAGCGAGGACTTTACTAATTAGAATTAATCAAATTAAAAAATACTGTCTGTCACCGTCAGCAGCTTCAATTCAAAATGCTGTAAATATCAGTATGAGCTTTCAGAAACCAACACAAGTCCAATATTGTATTAAATATGGCTTACCTTTGAGCAGAGTAATGTTGATCTGTGGTACTATCTGGTACTGTGGGTAGTGCTGGTACTTATGGGGACTCTCCTCTCCTGGGTCGCAGCATCGTTGACACTCCCTCACCTCCCTACTCCTTTACATACAGTACAACCAAACCAAGGCATGCAAGTCATACGGAAGCTTTTGTCTTTCTGATTTAAGTTCAAACTTGTATAACTCTTTTTAGTCTAATATTCTTCAAATCTTCTTCAGCACCTCCTGTTGATTTTAGAAAAAAGGAGGCAAAGACGCCCACCTCTGTCTTCATTAATGGAGCTGAGGTGGAGCAAGTAAACAGCTTTAAGTTCCTGGGAATCAGCATCACAAACAACCTGACATGCTTATCACACATCTCAATCCTGGTGAAGAAAGCTCATTAACTGCTGCATTTCTAAAGGAAACTTAAGAAGGAAAAATGTCCTTGTGACAAGTTTTTGTTAACTTTCATAGAGGACCAATAGAAAGCATCCTGACTGCAAACATTACAAACTAAGATGGGATGTGTATGGCACAGGACAGGAGGGCTCAACAGCAGGTGATTAAAACCACCCAGAACATCATTGGTACCATCTACTGAGCATCAGTGATATTGGTGAGAAGAAGAGCCTAAGAAGAGCTAAAAGAATATTAAAAGACAAAACCCACCCAGACCCAACCTGTTCACTGTGCTGCTGCCTGGCAAGCTATGCAGAATTATTTGGGCACTGTTGTCCAACCAGACTACAGGATTACGGCTAGAAAGGATCTGTCTTGTGTAAAACTCTTGCAAGAGTTTGTACAGTATGTATTCACGAAAGTTTATTTCATGTGTTTACGTTCGGCAAGCAGCCCTGCAGTCATTGAGTTATCCTGTATCCAAACCCTCTACACTACGCAGTTCAACCTTATGTTTACTTATCCGAGTTAGCTGTACAGTATCCGCCCGCAGTTGTTACTGATGTTCTTTGTGTCTCTGGGGCACAGCTGTAAAATATGTAATCCTTCCTCATCCCAGTGACGTACTTGGGGTGAGGAAGTATTACAGAGTGCTACTCCCAGTTTTGGTAGCTGTGGAGCGCAATGCCACTCAAAAAAATAACTCGCTTGTGAAAATGGCATCCCAAAATATAAGTGAGGATGTTATGATCGAGGATTTGTTTGTCTGTAATCATTACACAGTGTAAATTTTACACGACTTGGGTGGTTTTAATCACCGACTTCAATATTCAGCCATATTCACTCAAGGCTGCAGCTGCAGCGGGGGGGACATGGCTGACGGGGACCCTCCAGAACCTGAGCTGCAGCGAGAAAACACAGACTGGTGACTGGCCAACTTTGCTCAAGTTGGCCAAACGGAATCATTCTGAGGTAACGAATGTCATTGTATTTTATTTTATTGCTGTCGCCAACGACAAAAAGTTTCATTTTGTTTCTGTCCAGGTTAAATTAAATTTGTTTTATGGTGAGTTAACAAGGCAAGAAACCCTGTCTTAATTCACTGTAAGAGAAAAACTTGAATTCAGAAAGTTCACGGTCGTATTTTTCTGTTTAGGTGTAATAATATAAGACGAAATTATATCGCAGCTCGTGCCCAATGCATCCTGGTACATGTAGGCACAGCTGGCACGGCTCCGCAACAGAGATCAGCTATCTGCGCTCACAGGGGAATTTATTTCTTCAGTGGATTACATTTACCCTCAGCACTAATAGGACATCCACATAAAAGGTGGTTATTTTTCCTTTACGGTTTTACTAATGTAATGACGTAATGAATCAAGAATTCTTTTTTATTATCTTAAAGTTATAATGGAGGAACTTCACCTCTTATTTTATGGCAGCAGAGTCCAACAGGGTCCATCCTTTCCTCCAGCTGGCCCAGCAATACGGCCTGGGCCTCCAGCAGCTGGGTGACGGTGTTGGCTCCCAGCGGGCAAAGCTCTGCTCCTGGGCGGAGAAGGAGACACTGCTGCTGGGCACTGAGCTCCTCCCTCCAGAACTCTGAGTACAAAAATCAACTTACGACATAAATACAACTGTCTCCCTGCTCACCTTGGAACGCCGATTCCTTCAGACTTTGTGTTTTTCACCGAGTCGCTCCGATTACAACGAGAATGTGACGTCATATTTACACAAGACGATCCTCTCTAGCCATAAATAATATAGAGTGCTACCTTTCCTCAGGCTGTAACACTCCTTAAACCCACCATTTGTAGGGTTTTCTTGTGTAGCATCAAGTGACTACAACTGCACTTCATTATGCAACCCTGTGTTGTACATTTCAACTCAATTTCAAGTCAAATCCAGTTGACTACTGTCAGACTCTTGTTTCTGCATAAATATGTCAGTTTTCTGTCGATTGAAGTGGAAATGTATGCATCAGGCTCGATTGAAAGGTACCTGGCATCTTGATGGTGGTTCTTTGTGCCCATTTGGTCCCGACTGGGTTCTGGATCTTTTCTCTCATCAGAGTGGGTCCGGTAGGGGTCCACTGGACAGGCCCAGAGGAGCAGCAAGGCCATCACACAGGTTGTGGTCATCTACAATACACAAGAACAGTGTTCCTTCATACACACATACACACACACACACACACACACACACACACACACACACACACACACA